CAGACTTGGCCACATTTTTAGAGAAACTATAAATCTTTTTGCATTACAGAAGTCCAACACAAAGCTATAGATTATAGAGGTGTGATACAAAGTTCACAGTGTAATCCACAATTGTTTGGAAAAAAAACCCACAACACCCCAAAACAACCTGGTCCAGTTGCAAAGCAGATTATAGGCATGTGCAACTAATACAATATGGAATTTTACCCCATAATATCTTCTACCCTAGTACTCCTGTCTTTGAGCTCACCTCTTCCCTCTCATAAACCTACTTCCGCTCCCTCCAACAGTTCCAGCAGTTCCCTGGCCCTGCCTTCCATTTTGCCTGGATCACCCAACAACACAGGTTATCTGAGGACTTATTGTCAAGCCCTGGTTCTAGGAAATGTGGAAATACCTCAACGAATTCTGCAAATCAATAAACCACATACGTAAAGGCCTTCACTGGCAGGCTGCCCAACAGCACCTGACTTTCCTCCAAATGGGTATCGTTCTGTGGAGATTAACTGAGCATCACTGTACAAACACCAGGGTCACTGGCCCTGCCTGCCTCAAGAGGCTGTTGAAAATCCCTCGGTGCCCAAGCTCCCATTGCAAAGATTCAGCCTCTCCCTGCTGTTCCCATACAGCAGCTGCGGGCTGTCCTTTACAGCCTGTGGTTTAGGTGTTCTGAACCTAGAAGAAGGATTAAAAGGCCAGAGGAAGGGAGGGAAGGAGGTAAAATATTTTTCTGAAAATCATCTCTTTTTCTATGTCTCTAAATGTCTAAAGCAAGCACCCAAACCTCTTATTTCTCTGTTCTCCATATAAAGCTCTCTTACACTCACATTCCTCACCAAAGTATTGCAGAACTGTTTGCTTCAGGTGAACAAGATAGAGATGCTCAGTGCAGACTGAAGTTAGCACTGTTACCTGTAAACCCAGTGCTGAAACTAGATTGTCCTGAGCAACAGGATTTGCATCAAAGCAGAGAGGCAGTTGTGTGGATCAACTTCTGCTCACCTGCCACAGTTCAGTTCCAACTGAGCCTCCTGCTCCTTCCTCCCAGCCACCATGCAGGGATCTGAGTTGCTCCCAAATTGCTGCTGCCCAGCATAACATTTTGAGGCAAAAAAACCCCATATGTAACAGCCTCAAAGGCAGCAAGTAAGAAGCTGGGCCATGAGCACAATGGACAGAAGTGCCACGGGGCTCACCGCATGACCACACACCTCGCTGTTCCAACCTCTTCCCAGCAGTGAGATCAGACCCTGGTGTCTGTCCAGCTGCTGCCAGAATAACTGACAGCTGTAGAAAAGCAGGTATAAAAACCTTTGTTGAGAAAGATGTGCTAAGATAACCAATGACATAATGCTAAAAGTTTATTGGTGTGACTGGTATGTTTGCAGTTACTTCTTACTATCATATTACAAGCCAAAGCTTATAATAAAAAGAATCTTAAACTTTCTGTTTGTTAATTCAGGTTTTATGAAAAGCTCAACAAATTCATGTCTTCCGGATAAACTGGAATGAAGACACACATCAACCTCAGAAATGTATCTATAACAAGGTTCACTAAACAATTTAGCAGGCCATGACTATAAAGCAAACCTCTGATGACCACTTACCATAATCTAATACTCTGTTTAACCTTCCAAAGCTTATGCTCACTGCAAAACAGAAACAAAATGTACTGTTTGCCCCAAGCAAAATGATAAAGTCATAAAAAGCTCTATTCAGCATGCAACAAGACTCTTTATTAGCTCAGATAGCCTCCCTTTCTTGTATGCTTTTACCTGCCACTTGCTGTGTCACTAACCTCCAGCCTGCAGACGTGAAGTGTGTGCTCAGTTCTGCAAACCAAGTGGCAGTTCATAAAAACCACTTTCAGATCAATTTTCTTCTTTTTATAACATAAAGATACCACTGAGCATGTGTAATCATATTGATCATATACTGCTATAATTTAAATGGGTAACAATTCTGTGGTGTTGGGGGGTGCTGACTCTGCAGCCCTTACTCTGACAAGCATTTCTTACATCAAAAACTCTCAAGGATCACTCCAGGGTAGACAATATTTATTCCATCAAAGCACAGTAATGGGATAACCATGCTTCTATGGGGACTATGACCCATGGCACTGCTCCATGCAAGCTCCTGGCTCCCAGGGCACTGTGAACACCACAAAGAATGGCACAGGAGAAATCCCAGACTGTCAATCCCAGACTGTTAATTGTCATTTCTTTCCAGCATGCTGATAAGATATATCTGATGTGCCCATAGGACAGCCCAGTGTGTACTTACCCATTCTAACAACCGAAAATGTTTGACAGGGGAACAGAAGGGAAAATCAGAGAAACTCTCCCTGAGATCCAGGCAACAGAGAGAAAAAAAAAAAAGATTTGTTGTTCAATTCATTAATCCACAAATTTTAATTGAGGATTTTATTTGTGTATTTAGGGAGTCTGTTCAAAGAGAGGAATAAACAAAATAAAGGAAAAGGCATTCAATTAATTATCTGTTATCATTATGCCATTAGGATTCAGAGGGGGATAAAGCATGGTTTCCTGCAGTTAAACAGACAGTGCAGTTGGGCTGCCAGCTGCTCTCAGATCCTGACTGTGCTGCCTAAAACAATACAGAGGGTAATAACGCAAAGGACAGGAAGTATTGCCAGCCCACAGCATCCTTAGGATATAAAGTTATAAAACATGGAAATACTCTATTTAAGAACACCACAGAGGTCCTAAAAATGTATAAAACTCCAAAATAATTTACCTTTTCCTGAAAAAAGTCTTTTGAGATCTCTCAGCACAATCGTGAAGCCAGAGAACAGCGGAATGCACTGGGCAATCAACTGTTAACTGGTTTGCTGGCATCATTCTCTATGGGAAAACTGTGGGCACTTAGAGCTGCTCCCTGCCTTGTGCCAGCCCTGTGGATGCACAACAGCAAGGCCAAAGCAGAGCAGGAGGCAGTCAGCAAAGTGAACTCTCCTCCTCCACCTTCCCATAACCAGGCACTTCAGCATCACTTTGGGATCATGAACACTAGCTGCATGAGACTTCTCATCAGTGCATTGCTAGTTTTGAAAGCTGCCTTTCCCTCTGGACCTGTGAGAAAGGCTTGCTTCCAGGCTGAGGAGAAAAACCTCACAGGATCTACTGGAGATATGCACCATATATTATTTTGGCTGATGGCTAAGGAGATGCTTACATTGTCGGGTGAAGGACTGGATTACTGGATTTTAGACTTACATTTAGGTCATGACCTTTTAATTGCATTGCTGCCAAAACCATATTTCAGCCATGCCTTCAGCTGCTCTAATGGAATGCAGCAAAGGGAAGTACTTTGCAGTGTTCACACCCCAGAGATTCATAACTTTCATTTGGCGAAAGCCTAGCTGAACTCGGAGGTCAGTGGAAATGAGCTGGAAACTAGAGACCAGCCCTGCTCGCATGGTTTCATATCTTTCCTTATATCACTTACCATTACACTGGAAACAATGTAAAGGGCGTGATTTTTGTCTTGGTGTGATGCAGATGATAGCTGGACATTCACTCTCAAATGAATAAAATCTATTTTAGCTACATCTTCTTCTGAACCTTTCAAAAGTGGTCAGACCTCTTTTGGTACCAGTGCAGAGTGACTTCCCCATTTTCAGAGTTTCAAATACACTACAGACCAAAAGAAGTTTTTAGACCATCCCAGAAAAACACTGTTTGGTAAGCTTCCCTGTTATTACCCTTAAATCCTAACACGTCCTGCTCAGTTTAGGCACACCTTCCTGAAAAGATTATCGGAATATAGTATTAAAAAAGAGGAAACTACGTAAAGTTGACATTTTACCTACCAACAATCTTTAAATTTCTAAAAATACAATTTTCTGTTCATTTAAGTGACTTTTAATGACTTCTTCCTGTGTTTTCCTGGAAGTTCTGACCCTTTTTGTGAGGGAAAACCACAATGCTGCAATTCTTCTGGATTTCTAAACTTGGCTCTTGTTAGTGTGATGTTTATCGTGGATGAAATTATGGCAATTGAATCTGCTAGTAATGGAGGAAGAATATGTCGTGGCCTTGATCCAACTCTTAAAAAATACAAAATAGGTGCTAAAAAGTACCCCATCTGGTTATGTGCCCCAGACTCCTGTCATTTCACCATTATATCCACCAAACTCATCACCTGCAGTAAACCTGTGAGATAGTGAGTCAATCTACTAAAATCTTGGTTCCTCTGTGTGCCACTTCCAAATTGCTGGACTAAAGATGGGCCTGGGTATACCACCTGCCTTCACAGCACACCCCAACAAGGCTGATGGAGAGCAAGTGTCAGAGGCAGGAGGCCCTTGGGGCCACCCTCCCATTTGCACCAAGCAAGAGGAAGCCTCAGCACCTCTGTCAGTGGGAGATGGTGGTTTTTGGGAAGAATCTGAACAAAACCCCTTCCAGCCATAGGACAGTGAGTACCCAAACTCGCACTTGACACCCTGGCTACCAGTGTCGCCCTCCAAATTCCAGCTGTTTCCCCTCCTTTTCTGCCTTAAATTTCTGCTGAGTAGTACTGTGTGATTTTAAGCAGTTGGCTAATTCACATCCAGGCTGTTTAGGGAGCGTAGGCTGGTGTCTTTATGTTTACTCTCCCACACTGGCCACGTGGGCACAGAGACAAGCTCTACAAGCCCATGTTAACTCTAAGCACATTATTTATCACCTGGTTTGTAAAGTGCTCTGAAACAGGAAAGGCCCTGTATAAACATAAATATGAATTATTGCCAGTATCCGCTGAAATGACAAACCAACATCCATCCTCTCCTGGTCTCGGCAGCTGTACTTCCACCATTTGCCATCTGTTACCATTCTAGAAAAAAATCTGTGAACTCAAGCTTAATAGACTTAATAATGCTCTTTTGCAATTGCTGTTGGTCAAAGTGTGTTCCTGGCCTGGAAAGGAGCTGTGTGCAAGCAACCAATTCCTAGGCAGATGTCAGGCAGAGTGTACAGTCAGATGTGAACATACGGCTGATTTTAGTGATAAAAATCATGTCTGACTGCCCTGGACAGCCCTGCCAAACCACCACAGCTGAGCCCAGGAGCCGCTCCTGCTCCTTCTTGTGCCTCACCAGCATGGTTTGTTGACTAAACCTTAGTGACAGAACCAGTCACTACACCCACGGACATCCACTGCAAAGGAACAGATGTTACCCTGCCACAATTAGCAGCTTGTCTTGACCTCCCTCCCTTGCCATCCCAGGGATGAATCTCTCTCCACCTCCAGCTCTTTCTGCCTAGTTGGTGGGAATGGGATGTTGGAGGGAGATGACTTTTTTCCTTTGTAACTCTTTTGAATTGTATGTGGAAATGATGAAACTACTAACAAAAAAAAAAGTCACCACACAAAAATGTTTCTGTCAGGACATTTAACCTTTAACTCATTTTGGACCAAATCTTGCTCAAGTCTGCCACAGGCAACACCTTTTCAGACTGTGGCTGGTCTGTTCATTATGCCTGAGAATGGACTGAAGAAGTTGCATGAGGTGAGGACTGTCCAAGGCAAAGAGGTGGAGACTCCAAGCAGCCAAACTATACAAAGATAGAGGTAATTTTTAGACAAAAGAGTAATCAACATATGAAATAATTATGCCTAAATCAATAATTAGAGGACTAGTAATAGAAAAGCTTGAGTTAACAGAACAGAGTTATGCTGGGTACACATGCTAAGCTGTGCTCTGAGCATCCTCAGCTCAGGGGGTCAGAGATAACTTATCCACTTTTCCCCCTTTGGGTTGGTCTAAGAGAGCTGCTTCCCTGCCCAGGAGATCTTGCCTTCATGAATTTCTGTTCTCCATGGCCAAGACAGATTAGTCCATGCCATACAGACTATTTGGCCAAAACTATTTTGTCATCTGCTTTGGAAAGGGTAAACAAATGCCATTCCTTGAACAAGAATCTGATCTCACATAGGTGGGGTAAGCCTGAAACAAATCCACTGCAAACAGGCTTGTCAATCTGCTACCTCTGCAAGCTGTCTAGAAAAGCACAAAATAGAAGTTGTACCAGTGTGCACTTTTCTTAGA